CGCCCGCGGAGCTCTGTGCTATTGGGGCTCAATTGCTGCCGAACTCCTGCAGTCTGGCGCGGGAAGTGTCGCACCAAATGATTGCTGGAGAGCCGGGGATGCAGAATTCAACAATTTTTTTCATCTTGGGCAATTCATACTATTGTTGCACTAAAAAATACCATGTAATGACTATGAACTCCTAAGGAAAACAAAGCGCGCTTTTGAAAAAGCAAACGGTAACCAGCATGTGGGAAGTAAAGCATCCTGGGTTTCGGCTGCTGCTGGAAACCAGGAATAATAGAAGTCGCCTAGCTGGGTAGCGAGAGAGAAGGCTGCCGTGTCCCTGGGTAAATGGAGTCTGAAATTGCTGCTCAGTGTACGCGACGCAGGGTCAAACTGAGGAGCTGTGTGCTTATGGCTCCGTTGCTGAAGTTCGCTGGGGACCCTGGGTTAATGAATGTCTAGCGTGCGTTGTAGAGGTGGTGTAGAAATATTTTGCCTGTCTAGAATTAGCCCCGGTATGTCTGTACCACGAGGAGGTACGTAGCTGGATGTACTTCCTCAGTGTGCCAGCGCTGCGTGGTTTCTCTTGTGTTGTCGCCAGTTATTTTGGCCTTATGATTGGAACTTAAAGATTAGTGAGGCTTTTCTTTGGTTTTAGGTTACTGCTGGAAAAGCTGTCAGTATACAGAGTGTTTAAAGAAAGGCAGAGGCTTGCAATTTCATGATTTTCTTTGATTCCAGGACCCGGAGCTTAAGGGAGAAAATGCCAAGCAGCGCAGTACTGCCAAGTGTGTTTGTGTAGCTGTCGAGGGATTAGTGTCTGTCTGGTGAAGAGGCCCCTCAGCCCGGTGCAAGGTTATCAATGTGCTGTTATCTTTCTTCCAGTTGTAAAAAGCAGCAGCCAGCTGAGGGTCCCGCTGCGATGGAGAGGTCAGGCGACTGCGGCCGTGGTGACAGAGAGCACAAAACCTCAAACTGAGCCAGCAGTGCGGTACGTTTGCAGTCAGCTCTGGCTGGGTGTGACCCGTGCGCCTTGCCCGCTGCCCCTCTCTGATACGGTGTGCTGCTTTACCTGCAGAGCAAAGCTGGGTAACGCGGCAGCCACGGGGCTTGATGCCATTTCTGTGTGTGTGTGTGTGTGTGATTGCTTTTATCTGGCTGGCTGCATTCACCAAGCCTTTTGTTTCCATAGTTCTGGGGGGCAGGGATGGCTGCCTTGTTCTCCGCAGGACGCAGCGGCCCACGGTACGGCCGGAGGCAGTGCAGAGGCAATAGAAGAGCAGACAGTAGGACATCATTATCTGAGGTTCTGGCTCCTGCTTCCTGGGTTTGATTCAGCAGCCTCCGGATAGACACTCCAGGAGGGAGGGAATGGAAACTGAGGTCCCAGCCCGTCCGGGCAGGTCTAGGCTCCTCTCGGTGCCCCTTTCACTTGTAAGACTTTGGCTTTAACGAGAGGAGAGCAAGGGTGCCCGTGCAGCCTCGGGAGGCGAGAGATCCTGGTCGCCGGGCGCCCTCGGGCAGGGGAACCACGCGACGGGGAGATCCACCTCTGGGGTGAGCGTGGTGAGCAGCAGGCGTTTGGGGAGATCCACCTCTGGGGTGAGCGTGGTGAGCAGCAGGCGTTTCTGTAAGAGGTGGTGCCGCCGCTCCGCTGTTACCTGTGGAACGGTGTGCCGGGCCTGCACCTGGACAGAAAACCCGTTGGGGGGGGTGGGAAACCAACAACCCGAGCAAAACCAACCCTGCACCTATTCTATGTGTAGAAATGCTCTTGGCTGCTGTCCCTGCTTCAGGAGGTGAGATGTGTCTCCAAGGTAATGAAGACAGAGTCCTGTATGGGTCCCTCATCTGTTTGCGTGGAAGCTGCTGCTTGCTTTGGTTGGAACCTGCAGCTGGCGTTCAGCTGAGAGAGCTCCTTAGACCCTGTTTTATAACCTCCCTTACAGCCTTCAGAGAGAATTTTCTCAGCGTGCTTCCAGTTAAACTCTGTGTTGTGAAGCGATTACTTTTTAAAAAAAAAGTAAAGATCATGTAGATACTTGTTCTCTGGCTATTCGTGCTTGTAGTTCGTATTTTCACAGAAGCAGGATGAGCTTCTAAATAGAATGCTGCTTTTGCAAAAGACAGAAGGATAAGCTGATTGTTTTGTAATAATAATAATAATTAAAATAATGCAGTATGTCATTAGGATTTGAAATATCTCTCGCTTCCACAGGAAACCTAAAACAGGAATCTTGATGTTAAACATGGGAGGTCCGGAAAGGCTGGACGACGTGCATGATTTCTTACTTCGTCTCTTCCTGGACAGAGATCTAATGACGCTTCCAGCCCAAAAGTGAGGAACGCTGTGAATTCCTGTGTTACAGCCAGTGTTGGGTGTCGCTGTCGTAGCTGTAGGCTCGGGCGTTGAACTTCTGCGTGTGTCAGCATTTCTGAAGACTGTTCCGTCTTGGGACCAGCCCGTGCCAGAAGCGGTGTTACAGTTCTCTGGAGACAGGCGTGCCAAGAGCGTTCCCTTCGAATTGCCGCTTGTGGTTTCCTGTCACCTAGTCAGTTTGGGAAGGGTGGTGGAATGTAACGTTCAGCAAACCGTGCGGTGCTGGTTTGCTGTAGTTTGAGGAGATTGCCACGGAAGACCCACTGCAGTGGAGGGATTTGGGGAAAGGGGTGGTGATTTGGATTATGATATTAATACGTGTGTCTTTTGAATGCTTTAGTAAATTAGCACCGTTCATTGCCAAACGCCGGACACCGAAAATCCAGGAGCAGTACAGCAGGATTGGAGGTGGATCACCGATCAAGAAGTGGACGGCGGTGCAGGGAGAAGGCATGGTGAAGCTGCTGGACAGCATGTCTCCTCGCACCGGTACTGCTTTGCTCTGCTCTGCTTGTTCCAAGCTGGTTTGTCTCCTGTGTTAAAAGTATAGGCTTGTACAGCGGTTTTTGCTTCTCAGTTTTTACTGTGAGTGTGGACAGTGTTCGCAGTCCTGCTAGATCATGACAAAGATACTGCAGAAGTTCTTAGTCGTTAAAAACTCAGCACATACAAAAGCATGGGGTTCCCACTCATGCAAATGTGTTTTGGTGCTGTGGCCACTTCTGTGGCTGCGCTGGGGAACGGCTTTGCTTTTGGAGAGTGCTGTCGGTACTCGTTCAGCCTGCAGTAGCGGCGCAGCACCGAAAGCCAACGACCGGACGTTCACCCGCCGCCTCAGGCTGGACCCAGTGCGTGCTGTGGTCCGGCTGCCACCTCCGTCTGTGCCCGAGCGTAACAGCTGCCCTGTGTGTGTCCACCCACAGATGCTTTTGGGATGTTTCATCTTGCGTAACTTCAGCCATCAGGAAGTTGGGCATCGGGCCTAAACTGGTGGTGAGAGAGTAGGGCTTGGAGAGAAGGTGATTCAGTTGATCCCAAGGTCCTTATCAAAGGCAAGGGGTGTCACCCTCCAAAGGTGTGCTGGTCTCTCCTTTGACTGTGGGGAGAAATCTAGATGGCTACGGTAGACAAAGTAGCTTGTTTTCAGATGGCTAAAGCTGGGTGGCAGGAGTCTCCACTACGTGAGCTTGAAGAAGTCTGTGCTGAAGACAAGCGACTGGGCCTTAGATGATAAGAAAGAGGAACATACTTCATGCAAACAAATAAGACAGGCATGGGAGAGGGTGTTCAGAGTGGCGTTCGCACTGGCGTGAGTGAGGTGGAGATCTGTGACCTTGGCAGCGGCAGTACGAGCTCATGCCCTTCTCTCACCTGTTGTGAAGAGGTGGAGTGGGAGAGTGATGCTCCTCTGGGCTGCGCATGTGCATGCACACACAGAGTGGAACCCGGGGTTCCCTGGTGGTTCGCATTCTGCACAGCGCTGCTGCGGGGCTTCACGGTGGGGTGGGATCTCCTGCTGTAAAATGCACCCCGCCTGCTCGTGGCCGCCGCACGCTCGCAGCAGCCCCAGAACTCAGCTCTGGGAAGCCTGTTGCGTTTGCCTTGCCCGTGCCAGCCTGAGCCTGAAGAATAGGTCACTGCGCGGGAGGGTGTCGGGGTCTGACCGGTCTCCTGAGGCGCAGGTGTCTTTCGTCCCTCTGCAATCATCGCTTGGACCCATCCAAAGCTTTTGGAACCGTGTCTGAATCTGTCAATAATGGATGAATTAGGCCTGATGTCAGGACTGAAGAGGAGGTTGGTCAGAGGAAAAGGCCGTGTTTCGTGGCTGAGCACTGCAGGGCCTGACTGAGTGATAGCAGGGAGCCCCACCCGAGGACATGGGCAGGAGATAAGGCCCAACCGTTTGGCTTGGGTGGAAGTAGACACTGTCTTTGCCAGTTCTTCCTTGGTGATAAGGAAATTTGAAAGGTGAATGCAACCTCCATCCCCCCTCTCCAGATCACAGAATGTCTCTGAACCTTGCTCCCTCACAGCAAGGAGCTGTGACTTGTATGGATTACCCTGTGCCAAGCTACCTGGTAGCACTGGTGTGGTGGGAAGTGGGTGGAGGTGCTTGTGTGAATGTCCTCGTGCTAAGGGCTTCAGCCAACAGTGCAAGTGCAATGGGCTGGGTGTGCAAACACCAAACTGCGGTCGTTCGCAGAACGTTAGCTTGCTGTGATTCAGCCATGTTCAATCTCTCTCCTAAAGCCCCCAAGCAAGTTGATACATGAGTCATTTTTCACCCAGGTTAAATGTGTTCATGGTGGAATTTCCACCAGTTTAGCTAAACTGCTTTTAGATTGGTTGTTGGTCGAATTTGACTTCAACTTGTATTGCTCAGTTAGCAGCTATGGTGGACGAGAAGCCTTTGTTCCTCTTCTGCCGCTTGCTGAAGGTGAGAGATCGTTTGCTTACAGTACCTTTGATGCTACGGTTTCTTGCTACGTGACATTAAAACCATGGCATTAATAAACATGGGTGGCAGCACTAGAAATCAAATTCCACGTTCACGTAGCAGCACAGGGGTGGTGGCCGTCTTCTGTGTCTTGCCTCTCATGGGACAGACAGACAAAAGGCAGAGAATCACCACTGCGTTGACAGAAGCCAGGGGAAGCAGCGATGTGATGGTTGGTGTGTCTGAAATGACCTGTCTGGGGGTCACCTTTGTCCCACTGAGGCTTTTCTCTGCGTTAGCTTTTTGTTCTTGAAGCAGCAGACTATGAGTAGAAGGAATTAACGAAATCCCTAAGCTGCCTGCTGAATTCCTCACCGAGGTGTTAGCTGCAGGTGATACTCCTCATCTGTCCACTCCAGTAGGAACACTGAACATTTGTAATAGAAAAACTGCTGGAGTAAGAGGTGCCGAAGAGGAGAGCTCTCCGTTCTCATCGGCTCAGCAGCTTCACAACACGTGGCGCTGCAAGCCGCCTGCTCCCTGCAGTTGCCGTGACCTTTGCTGATGTGGGGCTGGTGTGTCAGGGAATCCCCCTCCACGTGTGATAATACACGTTCTTTGATTCCTGGCCATTTTGTAGTTCTTTGTGGAATCTGCTTCAGACTTGGGTTGGAAAGGCCTAGAGGTAGAAGACTGCTAACAGGCTCTGGAAGGTGAAAAGCACTGCTCTTGGAAGGATAGAACCAAATTTATTTCATTTGTTCAGCATGTAACCTGTTGCTGATGCCTTCATTCAGGTGATGTTTGATCCTTTTTTCCACAGATGCTACTCTCTAGCTTATTTCCAGCTGTGGTCACTGCAGGTATAGTCAAAGCCTGAAGCCAAAATGGCACCGGGCTGCAGCATCCAAGGCAGCAGTGGTTTTAGCAGCAGTAGCCCCTGAAGGGTCAGGCTTGCAACAGGTTCTGAAGATAAAGCTTAGAAAGCTTATCTGCTGTTGTCAGTGTACTGCTCCGCTTGCTTTTGTTTGGTGATGCTTGCTGTGGAGTCACGCCCGGCTCTGTGCAGTTCTTGCACCTGATAAGTCACTTAGGGACCTCCTTTTTTTCCTAACAGTAGCTGCAGTATTAAAAATGGAGCATGCTAACCACTGTTAAGAATTGAATCAAGTGCTGACCACTGCCTTAAGCATTTCAAGTGACCTTGCAGCGATGCAGAGCACTGTGTTGCTTCAGAATAGCTTGAAGCAGTCGGATGTGCTGCCAGGCTGGGCTCCGCGTTTTGGAATATCGTGCGCTCACAGGTGACGCTTTGGGAGCGCTGAGCCCTGTTAATGAGTAACTCGCAGGTTGTGGTGATAAGACTTGAAGCACATGGCAAAGAAGAAACACTTTGTGTACTCGTTTTAGCTTGATCGGCACTTCGGGGGTGTAGAGTTTATGGTTGCTGTGCATTTGCAGTTGGTGAAGAGCTGATGTTAGGCAGTATCAGTAACCACCTGTGAAATCCCCTCCTGCGTAAATTACTCAAGCTGCTGATTTACTGACCTGTACCACGCACTTGGCAATGGGACCAATGCAAGGCAGCAAACAAACAGCCTCACCCGCGTCATCTGGGAACAAGATAATTTTAAAATGAAGCTTTACGGTTGCAGGCTGCTGTGTGAAGATGAACAAGAGTTCTCCCTTTCTGAATGAGTGGGTTTGGGTAGGCTTAGTGGTCTGTAAGAATAAATCACCCAGACATGATGATAGGAAAACCCATTTCTGTTGTTGGGGTTGTTTTTTGGTGCTGGCATCAAATAGGCTGATGTCTTGCAATGGTAATGACATTTTAAGAAGGCCTATCTTGCTTTTTATTGGTTTTAATTATAGCGGTTCTTAGTATTTCTTACAAGCTGTATTTTACCTGAGCTTCACTTGTCAGCAGAAGGAAAGCTCACAGGGTGAGGGGGCCACGTTGTTTCTTTAGATTGGCAGCTCTTCGTGGAAGGAGGTGTCACTTAACAACAAAATGAATATGTATACAGACACGAAAATCTCGCCTTCGCTGCCTGTGACCCAGGACAGAGCATAAAACTACGAGAGTGTAGCAGGAAGTTTCCAGGCTGGCCATGTTTTTTCCCAGTATGTCCTTTCCCAGGTTAAACCCTTACTGTCCTTGCTCCGGTTAGTCAGACTTTTGTTTTTAATGCCATTTAAAAATGCTAGTGAGGTTACTGGCTCCTGAAGTTGGGTGATTATTCGCTGCTGCTCCCAGCTGGGAGCTCTCTTGCCTCCTGCAGAGAACTGGGCCTGACTAAACCTGTTTTCTGAATCCTGCGTAAATGTATGGAGCGGAGACCAAGCATGGGACATCTGCTTCCCCCAGAAACCTGTTAAATGTTATTTCAGAGCCAGTGACCCGGAAATGCTGAAAAAGAAACTCTGCTTTTGTTCTCCTAAGAACCCCTGTCCTCCCCTTGAAAAAACAAAATAAAACAACAAACCTCCCCTTCCCCCCTCCCCCTAACCACACCATACTCCCCAAACCTCAAAGCTGACGCCCAAGAGATCAGAGGTGAAAAATGGAAAAACCTCAAATGTTGTCCTTGGAGAGAACGATATTGTCTCCAAAATCAAGTGTTTAAAGGCAGGAAGATTTCTGTGAAAAAACACCCAGAAGGAAAGACCGTGTGTCCCTGCCTCCGTAGCACTGATCTCCTGCCCCAGACAACCGTCCCGGTCCCTGGGGGTTTGTGTGCAAACGGAGCAGGCTTCCCAGGTCGGGGAGGGCATCTTCTCTCGAGGACGGTGACCAGAGCAGCTATGTCAAACGACGGTTGCACCTGGTCTTGTTTTTAGCTTTGTTTTTTAGTGTGGTTAGCTGGAGGCAAGGAAGTGGAAGGAAGTGAAACAGCTTTACATCTGCTATAACGGTGAAGGAAAAGCTAGAGGAGGCGAGGGAGATGCAAGGCAGCTGAAGCTGAGGTAGGAGTTGGAGGGCATGTGGAGCAAACGGCTGGTACCGGGGAATTCTGCCTGAATGCCCCGTGGTGCTGGGACCGAGGCCCCGATCCAGCCAAGGCATCGGGATCCTTCATGCACTGAGGGGGTCGTGTTTTGATGACTTCTCTGTTGGCACCTGGAGCACGAAAGGGGCAAAATGATCTGATTTTCTTGAAATGCCTTATAGGCAGCGAATGTCTGTGAGGTGCAGGGCCTTTCCTTGTTTGAAGCTGATCCCTGTAGAGCAGAATGTGTCGGTGCTGGCACACAAAATTGCAGCTTAATTGTATTTGAAAGTTTAGGTAAATAAAATTCCCTTGAATGTGCAAACCGCTTAAGCGGTGCGTTTCCTTTGGTATGGCAGAATGAAGAAAGCCTTGTCTTTCCTGAGGTTTTGTGTTTTAATTACAGTGGTGTATTTAAAACATCTGACTTCAGTGGACGGGTTGAGCTGTGCTGTTAGAAAGCCCCTAGCACGTCTGTAAGTGTGGTCTGAGGTAGGGCATAGTAGTGTTCGTTTAGCATCTCGTAGTGACACTTTTTTGCCAAGACATCCTTTAGATCAGAACTCGCCCAGTGAAACGTCAGAGCGCTGTGCAGTCTGGAAACCACTCCTCTGCTCAGCTGAGTAAAAGCAGAAGAGTCGTGCTTCCTGCAGAGACAAACAATGGTGTAAAACTCTTTTAAATTCTAGCAACAGCAAAGTGAGTTACCAGAAAAGTACTTGGCCAAACAAAGATGTATTTAAATGAGAGTGGTTTAGAAAAGTAGTCAGAAAATTACCAGCAAGTTTATTTCAGCAGTTGCAGTCTGTCTGGTTCTGTGCTTTGTGCTTGTGTTGTTGAGAGTTCTCAGGTTTTTTTCTGCAATTTCTTTTCCTGTGCTTTGGCTGGCAGCGCCTCACAAATACTACATCGGCTTCCGGTACGTGCATCCTCTGACGGAAGAAGCGATTGCGGAGATGGAGAAGGACGGCGTTGAAAGGGCTATCGCCTTCACGCAGTACCCCCAGTACAGCTGTTCCACCACAGGTGAGCGCCCGTGCCGGCACCGAGCGCGGGCAGAGGCGAGCGTAGGCGGCTGTCGGCGGGCGCAGGGAGCGTGCGGAGTGTCGGGGTGGGCTCTGCGGCCCTCCTCGGAGTGCCCCTTCCCGCTGGCGTTGGCGCCAGCTCGAGGCCCTTTCTGTAAGTCCAGTTGTGGGTAGAAATGTCTTAACTTGGGATAGCTTGACGTTACCGTTGTTACTGTGAGAGAATGTAAACGGAAGCAGAGGAAGCTCCAGCTGAAGATGAGGAGGAACTTCTTCCCTCTGAGGGTGCCGGAGCCCTGGCCCAGGCTGCCCAGTTAGGCTGTGGGGTCCACTTCTCTGGAGATATTCCAGCCCCGCCTGGACAAGGTGCTGTGCAGCCTGCTCTGGGTGACCCTGCTTGGGCAGGGGGTTGGGCTGGGTGACCCACAGAGGGCCCTCGCAACCCCCAACATTCTGTAAACGGCAGGCTCAGGAACACGACTGAGCAAGCTTTCTTCATGGAAACTAGAGTCATAATTGTTCTCCGGCTAAAGAATGGTTTAGCAAACTGTCCTTGGCTGGTACGTTGTATGAACTTTGGTATAATTGTTCCCATTTGAGTCTCTTAGTTCTGATTTACGGTTGCATTTTAAATATGTAGCGTTTTAAGCTATTATAATACCTTGCTATAAAACCGTTCTCATCTGCCAGGTTGCTAATGCCCTGGCTGAGCTGATGTTCTTGATTCTCTGTGTTTCAGGCAGCAGTTTAAATGCCATCTATCGCTACTACAATAAAAAAGCAGAGAAGCCGAAGATGAAGTGGAGTATAATTGACCGATGGCCCACACATCCCCTGCTAATTCAGGTATGGATTTGTGTGAACGCCTGCGAAGTGAGCAGTCAGAACGAGAGGTGCGAACTGAGCAGGTCTGGTAAGTTACCAGACTGGCATTCCCTGGGGCTTTCTTAAACTTGTTGGTGTAGGAGAAACTTGGTGTCTCTGCATTGCCAGCTGACTTTAAAACAACAAAGAACTAAGTAAACACAGATGTTTATTTTGTTTCCTTTTTAGAAATATTCGTAAAAACACAGTATAATGTTAAGCAACGGAAACATTCTGAGGAAACACTTCACTTAGATGAAGTCTTAGCTTCTAACAAAACTTACAAGATTTTTAGCTATAGAATGTGCTAGAAGAAAACGAACTGATTTGCGGATTTAGGCTTTTTTTAAAAGCTGGGACGATCACAAGCTCACAGGGGTCTTTGGTGTGTCGGGCACTGCGTGACGCTGTGTGCCTGGCGCTGTGCGGTGCGTGCTGTCTCTCGGTACTGCCCCACGCATACCGAAAGGGCCGTTGTGAGGTCCTTGAGGCAGGCTGGAGCGTGGCAGCTGCCCGTCTCGGGTCGTTTGGGAGCACACGCTGCCTCTCTGTTTCTGGTTCAGGGCTTTGCTTTCTTTTTCTGAACAGTGCTTCACCGATCACATACAGAAGGAACTGAACCTGTTTCCACCCGACAAAAGGAAAGATGTTGTCATCCTCTTCTCGGCTCACTCGCTGCCCATGTCTGTGAGTTACCTCAGGGCACTTCTGTCGTCGTTCTGACGGCTGGGCTGAAGGGAAGGGAACGCGGCCGCACTGCTGCGGGGTAGGGCCACGGTTGTGGAAGTGCCAGGCGAATAGAAGAGAGAAATACGAAGGTGAGTTAGTGAGTGGCAGCTGGAAGCGTGACGCGGAGCTGAAGGCCAGGCACGTGAGCTGCCATTACTCTCCCGCACGCTGCCTCAGGTCCGCGCTCTCGGGCACCGCTGAAGATGGGGAGCTGAGTTGGGCCAGGCTCGGTATGGCTGCTTTCATGGCCTCACGAGCTTGCCAGCTCAAACCCGGATGGTGATGGAGGGGAAAACTTGGTTGTTTTCTCACCTCTGGAAAGCAGTAATAATACTTTCCCTGAAGGAACGAAAGCAAAGTCTTTGCAAGGTTGCAATAAATGACTTGATCCTCTGTCAGCAACCAGCAACTGCAGTAAAATGGCTCTTGGATCATTTTTCAGAAATGCAGTGCTGTTACCAATATGTAACCGTATCTATATGTGACGGCAGAGGAATTTATCTTTTATCTTGCAACGGAGGAGGAGTAGATGTTCTGGTAAAGCGGCTTCATCACAGGTTTTGCGGGCAAGAACACAGTTTTTCTTCCCTGTTTTGGATGAGCCAGGTGCTTTATACAGCCCGGCCCGGGCGCAGCCGCATCACGTGCAGCTCTCACCTTCCCCAGTCTGTAGGTGGCCTTTGCACGAACGTGTTCCCTGGAAGAAAAAGGTCTGGTGTTTTTGTGTTGAAGGTCGTGAACCGCGGCGATCCGTATCCTCAGGAAGTGGGAGCTACTGTCCAGAGAGTCATGGAGAAGCTGAACTACTCCAACCCTTACAGGCTTGTGTGGCAGTCCAAGGTACGTGCTCAGGGAAGCGGTAACGCCGCCTGCCGCTGTGAAGCTCTGCAGGGGATGGAGTTTAGGATCTGCCAGCTTCAGATCGTAACCTCAGTGCCTTTTTCCCATTTTCAGCTGGAACAGAATCCGGAACATTTTGCTCAGTCTTCCCAGATACTCTTTATCCACAGTTTCTTGCCTGTTTTGTATATTGCATTGTTTTAAAGTAGTTTTTTGATGTGTCCATTAGAAAACCTGTGATCTCATAGCCTCTAGTTTGGCATTTGCCTCTTTCTGTCAGAAGGAAGAATTGAGCACTCACTGGGTTTTTAAGGTGTTGCTGTTTGAGGATCTTTGAGCGATTTTTCTGAAGTCATCGCTGTGAAACAGGCGTTCTGAATGATAATACGAGCCTAATCTGAACAGGCTTCATTATTCGTGACGAAGACTGCTTGCATTGCTTAGTACTTCATATTACTACTGCAAGTAGCAAGGAGCAGAGCTTTTACCAGAATTCTGTAGTACGAGTAACCTTATGTCCCAGGGACGTTACACCTGCCGTGCCGTTGCTGTCTGGTTCTTAAGGCTGCGTGTTACGGAGCATCAGCACCGCGCGCTGCGTGGATGGGAGAGGGGTAAGGACAGCTGGCTGCAGAATGCTGACTGCTCGAAAAGGCTTTAAACCCTGGGCAGTAGTGATCAGGGGTTTGTTGCACTGAAAACAGACGACCTTTGTTTAAATTTTCATTTACTTTAATGAGAGTCTTGTTTAGGCCAACCCAGGTTTTGTTTCTTTGGGATTTAAATGATGGGACAGTACATCTTCATAGAAAAATTAATGGAGAAAGTGAGAGGTACTATCAAAAGCAGGGAAATGAGCAGGCTCCATCTTAAACATGATCTGGCCTGTGTTGTCCTGCTCAAGAAAATGTGGGTGTTCTTTGTAAGAATGATTGAATGACCTTTTTTTCTTTATTTCCCTCCCCTTTTCTTACAGGTTGGACCGATGCCTTGGCTTGGTCCACAGACCGATGAGACCATTAAAGGACTGTGCCAAAGAGGAAAGAAGAACATGTTGTTGGTCCCCATAGCGTTTACAAGTGACCACATTGAAACGCTTTATGAACTGGATATTGAGTATGCCCAGGTTTTAGCGAATGAGGTGAATGTTTTATCGTTTTTCTAACTGTTTGGATAGCGGGGCTCTGAAATTACTTTTCCTGTTTTCAGATTTGCTGTGTAGTAGCTTCTTGCGGTATGATTTGGAGCAAATTTTATTTTTCTGTAAATTGAAAATTCATCTGAACTGGCTTAACTCATATTAATTTTTAGCAGCACAAAGCAGGAGGGAATTTGTCTTTCTACATTTAACTCTGTAAGCTGCTACTATCCGTACTAAAAAGAATCATCGATTTTTGGCATCAAAGTGAAATTATTTTTGCTGTGTTAAAAAACATAGTACTGCATCTAATTCTGTCATTTGGGGGCAACTTCTAAATTAGGTAGGAAGAAAGGTTTTGAAGGCTAACTAGTGAAGGATCTAGCAGACTTAACTTTTTTCCCTCCTTATTTTTGATTCAGTGTGGAGTTGAAAATATCAGAAGAGCAGAGTCTCTTAATGGAAATCCACTGTTCTCCAAGGTATTTTCTTTGTCGCAATAGTTGTAAAAGTTTGCAGTTTTGTGTTTCGTGCTAGGTTATGGATGTCTTCTTGTAGCTTTAAAGTATTTTGAGTTGAAGAGCTGTAATACCTGTAATTAATTAATCTGTATACCACATAGTGTTTTCTTGTACCACAGTTTGTGGTTGTGTTTGGGTTTTTTTTTAAGAAAAGGAGTTTAAAAGTTTGGTTTGACGAAAAAAGAAAACCAGTTTTGTATTCATTTGTAGTAATCTTTTAATGAAGTACTTCTCTGAAGATACGATGCCGGTGCAGTTTTAAAGCAGGCTTTCCCCCTGAATTAGAGGAGGGTAGTGCTGAAGAAGTGTGGTCTGCTGGATGCACGGTTTGGCAGTCTCGTCACTCAGTGTGGCACATGGTGAAGCATTTTTGTGTTCTCTGCAGACAGGTTTGCTCACTTGTGATTTTTAATCCACTGTCTTGCAGGCTCTGGCAGACTTGGTCTGCTCGCACATCCAGTCGAAGGAAGTCTGCTCCAGGCAGTTAACCCTGTGCTGCCCGCTCTGCGTGAACCCCGTCTGCAGGGAGACGAAGGCCTTCTTCACTGGCCAGCAGCCGTGACGGGCGGTCGCGCCGGGAAGCCGCCCCGCTGCAGCAGTGCAGGGGCGAGAAGCTGCTTCTCCAGCTCTCTGCTGTTACGTGCCGACAGGCGCGCGGTCTGTGATGTTAGCCTCACGCAGCAGTGAGGGGAACTGGACTGGTTTGTTGTATTTTTTCTTACGTTTTCTTTGAGGAGAGTTTGTAGGAAGTAGGGAAATAGGGGCGTTGATCCTGTGAGATGTGAAAAGATCGCGTTTCGTCTGGTTCTGGTTGGACTTAGCATGAGCCCACAAGTACACACTGAAAAACGTAAAAAAACATTTCTACAAATTAGCTTCTATTTCCTATGCAGGGATTTATTTATGTGCAGTTTTGTCATGAGTGCATTAATTTCAGCTTTTCAGGTCAAGTGCACAGTTACTTGTTTTGTTTATGCTTGAGGTGTGGTGTAACCAGCATAGTCACCGATTGTCTCTTCTGAGGGTGATTTTTCAGATGGGTTTGAAGATCGAGTGACTTCTAATGCTTTTTAAATAATAGATATATTTTTTTTTAGAAGGTAAAGATAAGGCTTTGGTTTGTTTTGGTTTTTGTGTTTTGTTTTTTTTTTTTTCTCCTGCCAGAAACTTCCAGTGAAGGCTTAGCTGAGATAGTGGAACGCACAAGATTTGTTTACATTTTCTAGAAAAAACACTGTCATTATCTGGAGGAAAGCCTCTGCGTTTGTAGAGTGTAAAATGAAAGGAATAAGCCTGCTCGGGTGATGCTGAAGAATGTGCTCGACTGAGACAAGCTGTGTATGTTTCAAATCGAGCAGTGGTCAGCAGCATGTATGGAAACATGTTGGTCTATCTTCTAAGCAAAACAGCTTTTTAAGATTAATATGAAAAAGGGCTTTCTGTGTTTGGTGAAGTAAATTTAGGAAGTCAGGCTTGCTCTCCAGAAGGTTTATAGATCTGCTCTGTGCTCTCTACTGTGCCACAGTGCTGTGGTTGTGTGGGATACCTGTGGAGTTCCATGGGTACAATTGATCTGGCTTCACTGGTGTTACTTGGAACTGAGATGACAAGTCGGGTGTCATTTGCATTGCAGCTGCCTGGAGCAGGCAGCCCCGCAGGCTGGCAGCTGTGTGCTTACGCACACCTTTGCCAAAAGCCCAGTCTTGTCCGTTAGACTTTTGGCCCTGGTCGTGGGCCAGGAGTACGCACTCGTGACCCAGCGAAACTTCTGGCTTGTTTTGGCAGGCATTTGGGTGCACCCGGACTGCCGAGTCCGCTCCTAAGTAGTGGTAGTTTTGCAGAGTGAAAAACCTTATTAGGGCCATATTCCCTCGCTGTCGGCACCGGGACCGGTGTCCGGGTTAGTCTGGGGTAGGAGGGGGCTTTGCTGAAAGGCTGGCCACCGCCCAGCGTGCCTGCGCTTGGCACTTGAAGTAGTTCAGGGCAGAAGTACCGCAGCACCTCCGTCGGGGTCCTCTCGCCCAGGGACCTCTCCTCCAGGGCGCGACGACGGAGGAGCAAAGCTGTGACAGTGTTCTGTGGGACTGAGCCATACGTCTGTAGTCCGGCTGCGGGGCTGTCGATGTTTACCTGATGTCGTTAGCACTGAAATGCCGGCACCTCGGCGGTGCAGGCTGCACTCTGCGCCCTGAGGGTCCAGCTGATCGCGAGGTTCGCGAAGCGGATGCCGTGCTGCTCAGACGGTCCTGCTTGCTGGCGTCGCTGCGAGGCGTGGGCAGCTGGAACCCCTGACCTTTCAAGCATAGGGCTGTTGAACAGGAAAACGGGCCTCTGTCGGCAGAACTTGGGCTTGTCTTGTCCTGTTTGATGCTGAAAGAACTACTCGTGGGATACCACAGGAGTGAATGGGTGCTGTGTCGATCAGCCAGTGGGCCAGGTGCTGCCACGGAGCGGTGTAAATCCTGCTGTACAGCCTCGCTGGGGCCCGTGGCCCCGTACATCGTGAGAGCTGACTGACATCTCTCCACTGCCATACTGCAGCGTCCCAGTGTGATTACGCTGAGACAGACTGAAATTCCTTCAGTGCCGGGACCTGCTGCTCGACTGCTGTCCCTCGTTGCTTGAGCAGAAAGAAGTCTTCCTTGACCCTTCCTACCTGTGCCTGGTTCAGCGGCCGGAGCCAGAAGCCGGGGCTTCTGTTCTCCCTTTCTTGCTCCGTTCTGGGCCCTGCTCACTGCCTTGGCAGGAAAAAGGAACGCCGAGCTGATTCCTGCCCGTGCTCAGGTGGAGTAGGTAGGGTTATCACGTGTGTGTGGAAGGGTGAAATTTTCATGGAAAAGCTTTGAATCAGTGTCAAAAGAATAAAAATGTCAGCAGTATGTCTGGGAAGGGAGCGCTGGCCTTATGTCTCTCATTGGACAAAGAACTTTCTCCCTTCCCATTCTCTGCTTGACATTTACAGGTCGGTGGAAAGCAATCTGTTTTGTAAAATCTTCCTCCTTGTACCTCTTTCCAGCCAGCTGAAGGAAGGGTATGTTTGCCTTCACATCCAGGTTGTGACCAGCATGTTTAGAAGTGTGGCAGAAGCTGGAAAGTGAACATTAACTTCATGTGAACGTTGTGATACTATAAATATAGATTGGCTTTTTATTTCCGTACTGGAGAGAGTACTGAAAATATTAGCCAGCACTAATTGTGAAGCATTATGTTTGTCCCCAGTAATAAAAGGTATTTAAAATTCACTTTTTAGTATGCTAACCACAAGTGGGATAATCACTACTCTTGTTGCTGCTATTAGACCGTAATGTAGAAATCGCTTCATTTTCTAACTTTTAGTAGATGGATCTTGTCTCATAGTTAGTGAGGTTCTTCATTTCACAGAACAGATTGTGTAACATCACCCTGTCCTGCTATGTAACACACATTATTTTGTCTTAGCACAGCATCAAAAGCCTGTTGAAAAACTACCTGAGCAAGCTAGCTAGGAGCTCTGCTTAAAATTTTTAATAAAGATAACAGTGAGACTGGGAACAGTGGGAACTCTGCTGCCATTGAAATCTTCTAATCCTGAGTTTTCTGTTTGGGAGCGTTTCTGACTATGCTAACTAACGGTGGAATTCATCTGACCTGATTTTAGATGCTTCCGATCTCGATGTCGACATCTGAGCTGGTCTCCTAGGTGCTATTGATGGTCAAAAGATCGTTTCAGTGGGTGTTGCTGAGAAATCACTCGCCTGTCGAAGCAGATGCCCGGAGCAGGTCGGAGGAGTCTCGCTCCGTTGCTGCCTCTGAGGGTGAAGGGAGCGTGGTGCCCTAACTCGGAGGCCGCTGGCTACGCTGCACACGTCTGATATGAGGAGAGATGAATCCCACCCATTGATGTGCCTTCTTCTCTGGCTCCCTGCCAGGGGTGCGTAGCCGCTGCGTTCGGGAGGCTGCAGTCCCAACGCCACAGGCCCGCGTTCAGTTTGCCCCCCTGGCAGGCGTTCAGCTCTTGGTGCTACAAAGGCAGGACCCGGCCTCGCCGGATCCCGAGCACTCGCTGCTCCGGCTGAGTGGGTCTGAGCAGGTGGAAGCGTCAGCATCTGGGGAGGCTCTCGTCCACGGAATTAATCTAGTTTGGTTGTTTCATTATCAGTTATAGTCTTCTTGCAGTGCTTGATTTCCTTTGCAAGTGTTCCTCGTTTACGTGCGCCCTGACAAAAGGCAGCCGGTTGGAAGTGAGCTGAAGGGATGTGTCGGGGCGGTGCCGTGTCCCGAGTTCTCGCTGGTAAGAGCCGAGTCTGCGGGCTGGCCCCAAGCAGGGTGGGTTTTGGGGACGCTGCGGTGTCATAGTCCCCTTGCCCAGGCTGCTTCGGCTTCCCCGTGCCGGTGCCGTGGAGCTCTGGCCTGAGGATAGCGATGGAAAAATCGAGGAGCTCAGAAACAGAGCTCTTGGTGTCCCAAGCAAAGTAAAGCGGGAAGGAAAGGTCTTTGCAGATGGAATGTTTTGAAGACTTTGCTTGTCATTAGGCTGTTCTCCTGATTTAACTCTCTGCAATTTTGCTTTTTTCTTTCTTTGTTTAGCTGAAGTTTTTCTCTTTTGGAGTTTATAAAATCTCTGTTATTACTGGCTGCATCTTAGCATCTTCAATAGCTTCCAGAAGTGGTGCTGTGGTACGGAGAGGTGTGTGGGAAGAGTCTGAGCCAACCTCCTGCTCCCCCTGGGCAAGAGGAGCTTGCGGTTGAGTTCAGTGGGGCTGGGACTTTCCTAGGAATATCCAAAAGCTTACTTTATTTGCCCTTTCTAACACACCTAGAGAGCTGGAAATCAGTACGAAGCGTAAGATGCGAGAAAGAGAGAAGTTCCTTTTGTTTTTTAATGCCAGCTGTGTGCACACGCTTGCGTTTGGTCCAACCGTATTTCAGATTGAATAAGGACTTCCATTTAATGTAACACAAACAATTTGTATAATCTTACTGTGTATTTGTTGCCATAAAGATGGAATTTCAATTAAATTTTTTGGAAGAAATAACTGAGCTGTGTGTCTTTAGTAAGGGCCCTTTCCAATGGCATCTGATGTCCCCTCTGTTCCTTTGCTCTGCACCAGAAGGCAGAAGCCTTTGGGCGTGTGCCGGGCAGCGGATCGGCAGTGAGCGGTGACTGCGTTGCTCCCACCCGACAGAGCTGGTTCCCTCGGCGCGCCCGTCTCACGAGGGGCTCCGGCTCCGTGTTCCCTGGGCAGGAGCCCCCCCAACACTGCCACTGCCAGCGCGTCTCGGCCAGAGCCCGCCTGGAATCCTGTCTGAACGCCTGCTCCGAGGAGCCAGAGCGATGCTGCCTGGAGCAGGGCCTCGGCGCCCTCGGAGACGTCCTGCTCTGCTGCTGATGGGCAGATTCCTCGCTGCGGTGGCTGAGCCGCGGCAGGGCGGTCCCTTGGGTGCGCGGGCGAAATGACGGCTCGCAGGCCGGCGGGGCCACGTCGGGTGGGCGCGAGGGCAGAGTTTGCGGGTGGAGGTCTGCGGGCAGGAGCCTTCATCTGCCTGTTGATGCGTGTTCTTGGAAACGGGTGTCCTCAGCAG